ACCAGTGTTGTTTTCTCTGACAAGTACCTTGCTGTGCAGATATCAATCCAGAGGGCCGGTCAGTGGCCACAGTGTTTTCAAAAACCCATCAGCGTAGCTTTGTTTTCTTCATCTTCCCAGCTCCTGCCGTGTAAAGGAGATCCAGCGTCATCAGGGACATGTGCAAGGTGTTGCTGAGGGTAAAAGGTTCCATGTTTTGTAAGCATGTAATTAAGGAACCTTGAGAAGTGTGCCCCCCTCTTAAGGAGCAGTCACCAGATCTCCTGGTTTGTCTGATCAGCCTTCCGCAGATGGCGCGCTGATACCGCCGCGCGAACACACTGCCAGAACCAACTGAGGAGCTCTGAATCACACGGCTTAAGAAGGGAATGCTGTTCCCATTCTCATAAAAATGCCCACGCCCTCTTTTCAATATACACCTGAAGGCCAACTGCCTGGTCCCTGTAATAGCCCAGAAAAATGGAACTTAGAAAGTCCCTATCATAGGCTCTGTCCAGCAGCACACTGGGCACCTCCTGAGAGTGGGCATCCCAGCTCTGCCTACAGCACGTAAACATGCGCTCTGCCAGTTAAGTTTTCATCAACCCATCTTTCCTGTATCAACAGCATAGAGATGACACATCAGAACTCAAGGGAATATCAGAGTAGGATCATAATTTCAGTAGGTCAAATTTTCAACACAGTATCAGCATGTAGACTCAAACCATCATGCATGAGTTTGGTAATCTGACCTGAAATCTTTCAGACCTGAAACCGGAAGGTCAGTGCCCCTTGCCTTGAGTGTGCTAAGCCCTGGATGAGGTCATTGCCTCCTTCGGAACCACCAAGAGCAAATGGGGTGTTACTTCTGATCTCTCCCAGGCCTTAGTCCAACATAACACACTCCCTTCTGCCCCCCCACATGTGATTCAGTGTCATCTAGAGCATGTTATGGAGCCAGGTAGTTCTGTGCTTAAGTGTGATAAAAAAAAATACTCTTCAAAACTATCCATCCAAAAATAGTTCATTCAAAATGCAAGACTGTTATCCCAAGTTGTCACTGATATTATATTTTGTGTTTGTTTATCATGCCTTTAGGCCATTCCTGACCAGTGAATTTTAGCCTAGATATGTCAGCTTCCCTAAGAGCAGTGGAACACAGTTCCTAAATTAACATCAGTGGAATCAAACTGGTGTGCTATTTCTAGTTTCATTCCACTTTAACTTCATGATCATTACCTTTTTAAATAACATTTTCATGGGTCATTAGTTTAGTGTGAGCTTTTCCACCACCCACCCCCTCTTATTTTTTTCCATTATCAGAGCCTTACTTGTTAAAAACAAAGCAAGTAACAATGCTGACTTGTGGTCACAGTTTCATAAACATATAGCTTATAGCTTCATATTGGTACCTGGATATTTGCTTGACGAGTACCATGAGTGAGTTTAATGATTCCTAAAAATGTAATGACAGTGTAGCCTACTCAAGATGGAGCTAAACCATTCTTAAGAAAGCCTCTGCCTGTTTTAACACTTACCTGAAGTTGTGATGGGCACTTGCTTTCTGTAATGTGCATTTTGGAGATGTTACAGCTGTCCTGAAGTACACCAGAGACTGGTTCCTGGGAGGGACACCTGTGGCAGTTCAGAAGGTACCCATTGTATCAAAACAGACATAGACGGAGGCATTCACTGCACTCCAGGTGTCCTGCTTACAAGAGTGGTCAAGGGGTTCCCCCCAGACTTCAGCAGTTTCCTCTTCTCCTGAACTTGTCTGGATTTCTCAGCTGAAAATTAATTATGTAATTTTGTGAGCACCCTTCCATCATTGGCTTATGTTGTGACTTAATAATTAATGTTTCATTGTTTAATACCTCTTGTACAAAGCTGAATTGTAGGTTTCTTGAGCGTAAGACTGAGTCTTGTTCTTAGCCATTCTTCCAAGCTTTAGGATTGGAATCCCAACTCTATGCCCTTGGATGAATTCCGTCACCTTTTTCTCACTTCCCTTGTGTAGAAAATAAAGGCAATTGTGCCTGTCTTGCAGAACGTTACAAGAACCAGACAGCACAGTGCCTGGCCCCAGGAGGTGCTTGGTAAATGATAACTGACTCCCTGGACGGAGCCCTTCACACACAGAAGCGGGGCAATGGAACATGACAAAGCAGGATTAAACACATGTGGGGGAAGAGCTAGTCATGACTCTCGAAATTCCATGGTGAGGGCACCACCATGTCCTCTGACCGTGGGCTGGAAGGACAGTTTACAACCCTGTTTATATTCATGACTCTTCCATGACCATCTGATGACCATTGCAAGCTGATCATGGCTCCTATATCCAAAAGAATTGGTGATTTGATTCAGGGTGTGCAGACAGTACTCACTGGCATCCTTGGTCCAGCTCACACATGTAGCAGCTGCTCTTACCTGAGTGGAGGAGCCTTCTCCAGCCCCTTGCAGCCATGTGGCAAGTGGTGATGCCCAGGACTGACCCAGGGATCCCCATGGGTGTCTCTGGCTTATTTAAGAATTGCCTTTAAAAGCAGCCACAGAGGGGCACAGTGGTGGGGCCTACTGAGACCAAGAGCATTAAAATAAAAAAGAAATGGTGATAAGGATGAGAGTATGAGGGGGCCTGTATAGGAAACATGAATAGCATTGAGATAAGTTTTCCCTATTTCCCATGTAGAGAGCACATCTGCCAAAACTCAAAATATGTATTATCCACTCAGCAACTGGCAGATTGCCTAGGAGCAGAGCAGAAGATGCTTACTTATGCTACCTTGATTCTATCATCCCTCTCTTTGTGGTGGGCTATGTTACAATGAAGTAATGGGTCATGTGACATTCTCATCACCTTCTTTGGTTACTTAAAATATGCAATTTCTTGCTTTGCATCCCTTTCAAAGGTTTCTGAGAGAAATGTTCATAAGACAGCTATAGTAAGTACTACATTTGTTGAGCTGTTACGATGTCAGCTTAGTAGGCCACAAAAGTATAGGTTAGATGAATTCCTTTTTAATACTAGTACTAGGGCACTGGACAAATAAGGACTCTTGCTTGCCTTGGATTGGTTGACTGGGTTGGCATGTTGGTTTATACAATGCCTTGCTCCAAGAGTAATTTAAGACCACACTTACCAAACATTGTTGTCACCCTCTGTACACTGTAATTGTATGTTAGAGGCACAGCTAGACTTATGACATAGTCAGTAATATACAAGCTCTTCTCAGGCATTTATCCTGTTAGAGACCCCAGCTAGAGCGGTCTCTACAATGAGAAATGAAACAATCCCTGATCTGAAGGACAGCACTGTCCTGTGGTAGAAATGGACCCAATTAAGTATAACAACAGTGAGATGGCAGTGATTGCCCTTGTACAGCTCCACTGTGGGTCTGACAGTCATGGTTTGCATTGTATTTCTTTTTTTATCCAAATATCTCGGGACTCATTAACTGACGGAGAAATTTTTATTTGAAATTTCATTTAAGTACTCCAAAATTCTTCTGTTAAGTGTTTCAAAATTCTTAACAATTAAGATCCCATTCAGCTACATACCTAAGAAATTTCCCTTACCAGAAAGGATGCAACCATGTGAAATCAGCAGCGCCCTGGAGACGCCATGGCATTTCCTCACTCTGGCTATGTGGCCCGAGAGGATGGGGCTGTCGCTTCTCCCTGGGAGGTTTGGAGAGGGCTCCCCGAGGGGCTGATGTCCGAGCTGAATCATGGACAGCGGATATCAGTCCTCACAACAGTTTTGGGTCTGTGTGCTGTGGTGAATTTAATGCATGTGGAAGTCAGGCACAAAGCTTGCCAGTTCATCTTGCTCTCCACTTACTCCCCTAGCAAATATTTTTAAATCACTTGTATGATAGCTTCCAGCAAGGACCCCATATCTGCTGCTTTTTTTTTTTTTACCTGCTTTCTAATTTGTAGACCTGCCTCCCCTCCCTATGGGGTCATCAGTGCTTGCAAAAACCTAGAGGATGCATGGCTTTGCATAGAGAAAGTAAGGAAGCTTGCCCCGAACACCTTCAGATTTAATCCACTTCCTTCAGAAAAAAACAATTGGCCTTAGGCAATGTATTTCTAATTGTCTAAGTTATTCTGTGTGTGTGTGTGCACACATACGCACAAGCTGTGCATAAATAGCACATCTTCAATCTGTGTGAAATATAATGGATGAGCAGCACATGACAGTAGGCTTAGCCCCTGAAGATTTACCCGGGAAGAAGACAGCTGCATGGCAAAGCTGCTGCTTATAATGAGGGGAGGACTAGCCCATGCCCTGTGCCACTCAGCAGCTTCCGCCATTCAGATGACAGCCAGTTTGTTTAGCTCTGTAACCCCCATTCTTTTGGGGCTAGGCGTTAATTTCTTGTTGAGAACACTGCTTTGGATTGTCATCATCTCTGGTATCATTGTAAGAGCAGGTATGACATGATAATTGAAAAATCCCAACTAGAAACCATGATAAATGAGCAAAATAGGAGTTGCCTTTAACATCTCTTTTTAACTCTTAGGTGAGGACAAAAACTATTTTTAAACCCTACAGGCTTTCAGTTTTTAACAGGGCCATATTGCCAGTGATGTGGTTCACAGGAAAACGGTAATGCTTTCTTTGGCTCCAGGGAGCTGCAAGAAGTGTCACAGCGCTGCTGATGTAGAATGGCTCTCAACAGGACTGATTGGGAGGGAAATTAATAGGCGTCCCATTGTTACCGTGCATTTTTGCCAGGATATTTCATTAGTGTAAACACTGAACCCCTTGTCATCTTGTTTAGCCACTTGACCCTGGTGATTTTCAATTCTGTGTGACCCTGATGAAATCGAGCAGTGGCACGCACGAGACAGGCACTAATTATTGGAAGCAGAATCATTGCTGACCCAGTACAGATTAACTGCTCCTTTGCAGTCTTTGTTCTGGGACATTAGCACTGTCTTGCTTCAGTTGAGGAGTTCAGGACAATAGCGGTGCTGATGGTAACTTCATGGCAATTTCCCTGTTTGTTTTGCAGGTCACGGCCAGGGGCTTTGGGCCGCTGTTGCAGTTTGCTTACACCGCCAAGCTGTTACTCAGCAGAGAAAACATCCGCGAGGTCATCCGCTGTGCCGAGTTCCTGCGCATGCACAACCTGGAGGACTCCTGCTTCAGCTTCCTGCAGACCCAGCTCCTGAACAGCGAGGACGGCCTGTTCGTGTGCCGCAAGGACTCGGCGTGCCCGCGCCCCCACGAGGACCATGAGAACTCCGCGGGAGAGGAGGAGGAGGAAGAGGAGGAGACGATGGACTCAGAGACGGCCAAGATGGCCTGCCCCAGGGACCAGACGCTTCCACACCCCATCAGCTTCGAGGCCACTGCCATCCCGGTAGCACAGAAGGAGGAAGCTTTGCTGCCCGAGTCCGATGGACCGACGGACACCAAGGAGAGCTCCGAAAAGGACGCGTTGACGCAGTACCCCCGATACAAGAAATACCAGCTTGCATGTACCAAGAATGTCTACAATGCAGCATCCCACAGTACCTCAGGTTTTGCAAGCACATTCACTGAAGAGAACTCCGGCATCAGCCTCAAGCCGGAGCTTGCCATGGGGCAGATTAAAAGTGAGCCGCCCAGCGAAGAGAACGAGGAAGAGAGCATCACGCTCTGCCTGTCCGGAGACGAGCCTGACGTCAAGGAACGAGCGGGGGACGTCGAAATGGACCCGAAGCAACCCAGCCCCGCCCCCGCCCCCGCCCCCGCCCCCCCTCCCGGGGTCGCCTTCCTGGAGAGATCCAGGAGCGTGTCCTCTCCCTCCTGCCTAAGGTCTCTATTCAGCATAACAAAAAGTGCGGAGTTGTCTGGCCTGCCCAGTACATCTCAGCAGCACTTTGCCAGGAGTTCCGCATGCCCTTTCGACAAGGGCATCACTCAGGGTGACCTTAAAACAGACTACGCCCCCTTCGCGGGGAATTATGGACAGGCCCATGTGGGCCAGAAGGATGCGTCCAACTTCACGATGGGGTCGCCCCTCAAGGGCCCCGGGGTGGAGGCTCTCTGTAAACAAGAAGGAGAGCTGGACCGGAGAAGTGTGATCTTCTCCTCGAGCGCTTGTGACCAAGTGAGCACTTCGGTGCATTCGTATTCTGGGGTAAGCAGTTTGGACAAAGACCTCTCTGAGCCGGTGCCAAAGGGTCTGTGGGTGGGGGCTGTCCAGTCCCTCCCCAGCTCACAGGCCTACTCCCACGGTGGGCTGATGGCTGACCACTTGCCAGGAAGGATGCGGTCCAATACTAGCTGCCCGGTGCCAATCAAGGTCTGCCCTCGATCGCCCCCCTTGGAGACCAGGACCAGGACTTCCAGCTCGTGCTCCTCCTATTCCTACGCAGAGGACGGGAGCGGGGGCTCGCCCTGCAGCCTCCCTCTCTGTGAGTTCTCCTCCTCACCCTGTTCCCAGGGAGCCAGATTCCTTGCCACAGAACATCAGGAACCAGGCCTGATGGGAGATGGAATGTACAACCAAGTCCGACCCCAAATTAAATGTGAGCAGTCTTACGGAACCAACTCCAGTGACGAATCCGGATCGTTCTCGGAAGCAGACAGTGAGTCGTGTCCTGTGCAGGACAGGGGCCAGGAGGTAGGGAACCCGCATAAATTCAAGCATGTCATCCACTCCCTCAGTCCTTTATCTGGACTTTCCAGCCTCCCTCCCCACCACTCACAGATTGTTCTTATTTGCCAAGATTAAAGGTTACAGTAAAGGGACTGCCTTCCCGATTCACGGAGGCGGGATGCTTTAAGGTAATTCCAAAGTAACCACTTTTGTCCTAGAAAGCACTTGAAATTTGATCTAGATTTAACGTTCAACTAGCAGAGACAAGCTGCTTAGTGAAAAAAGTTAACTCTAGTGTATGAACACATGCTCAGGTCCTTTAGAGCGCTCGCCCCTGCTTCTCCCTTTCCCCTCCCCCGGCATCTGCTGTGGAAGGATGCTCTGCTCATCACCTTCCTCCTTGCTGCTCACCTCTTCAGTGTGAAGGGAGATAGAGAAGCACTTTCAAAATTGAAGCCAGGTAGATTCACGCTAAACAGGTGCTTTCCCAGCACCCTCTAAGTTTTCCTTGTCGACAGAAGATCCCTTGTCCGTGGCGATGTCAGGGACAGCTCACCATCCGTTCTGGTCTCAGGGTCACTGCAGAAGCACCCTAGTCAGTCACGCAAAAGGGCATAATATACCATTTCCCAACATCCCCACAAATAGTGAGAGGTTATTTTGGGGAGTAGCAAGGTTGAATGCCATTATGTCCACCCTGGAAGCCAAGTGTTTTATAGATAAAAATTCCCAAAGGCTCCATCTGCGTCTCACCAGTGCTGGGAGAGAGCAGGAGCAGCACCAGCCACATCGGCAGCAAGACTCGCTTGGCTAAGGGGAGAAAGAACAAGCACCCCACATGTTCCCCCTCCCCCATCCCCTCTGAGGTCCCTGGAAAGATACAAGGGAGTCTGGGTCACAATCTGGCACCACCTAACTGACTGATAAGGAAGCAACCTGAGACTGCCGCCTGTGTCTCAGACCTGCTTCGCGAGCTGGAGTGAGTGAATCCAGTGAGAAGTCCCTCTTCAGAGCTGCTTATCCAGAAAACTCAGGAGGAAACGAAGCGTGGTCCTCGTTAGGCCACGCACATGTGTGCACTCCCTGGATATCAGCCTCTAGTGAAACAGGGATGTTAACCTCACCAGGCGGCAAAAATGCCACGTGGGGTGAGGTGGCTTTTCACAGAGCCATGGAAGGTTTAGCTGGTCTCTGCAAGATTGGCAAGGAATACCTGAGGTTTTAGTTCAGGCAAGCTTTGAAAAGAGATTCCAAAGCTCTCTGTGCCCACTGCAGAAGTGCCCTGTGGTCACTTCCTTGTTTTGCCACTTACCCTGCTCCCTCTCTTCTTTTTGCCTGGTTTGGAGGGAGGGAAAAAAAGGAGGAAGACACGATTTAACTTAATTAAAAGAAATTATAAAGAAAATGTGAATGGGAGGTATTTCTACTCAAATACACCATATCCTCGCACGCTTGGGATGGAGGCTTGTGCTAGGCCAGAGGCGCACCTGTGTCTGTGTCTCTAACCTGAGAGGATTGAAGGTTTGGGAAAACAGCAAAAGGTTGTGCTCTCTCTTTCCTCACTCATTTCTTTCCCTCCAGTCACAGCTTTTGTGAAGCGGTCTTTTTTTCCCTGAAACTTTCCATGAGCATCCCTGATGCAGAAGCCCAGTCACTGGGCCTGGCGCATTGGCATAACGATTTATCTTGCCAGGGATTAGTGTCACACACACAAAAAAATTTTCCTCCAAATCTTTGTTTTATTTTTGTGTCTCCTGCAAGAGGAGCCCTGCCGTTAAGCTAAAGGAATTGTGTTTTTCTGACATTTGCACATGCTCAAGGAACTGTCAGTTTCAGATAAATCTCCTTTTGTCCCTCTCCATCCCAGAAGACAGCTTAAAGTCATTTCTTGGAACTAAATCACACCAACAAGAGCCCATAGTTTTCCCTGTGTTCAAGCCATATCATTTGTCTCCCTTAGAATTTTCCAGTTCTACCTGACTCAGTTAAAAGGAGGACTCATTCAACCTATAAAATTATGAGCAGGTCTAGTCTCCCCCTGAAAAATAGCACTGCTTTAAAAAAACCTGTTTTTTAAAAAATGGGCTTTTTGTATATCTAAACAGTGAAAGAGGTGACATTTACCAAAGCTGTGTGCCATTTCAGAAATCACACTTCGCCCCTCTCAGTAGTACAGTTTGGACAGGGTTGATACAGGAAAGCTAAGGCTTTTCCCAGTTTGACATTTTAGTTTCCCTGGAGTCAAGGAGATGAGGCTTTCCAAGAACAGCCTCCGGGACTCAGTATGACTGCTCCTCTTTGCGTCCATAACTTGCTTACAGGAGCTACTTTGACCCTGGTGGAAGGGTGTCCCCAGTAGTAACGTTGAAGGCAGATCCTTTACAACATGAATCATAACTCCGTTTCCTGAACTAATCCAGAAGAACCCGACATCTCCTGGGCCGACTCTGCCCCAGTCTGCTCTTGTATAAGGTCCAGGTTGCTCCTCTTCCAAGTGAACCACAAGGAGAGACCAGGGTCAGAAACCAAAAAGAGTTCTCACCTCCAGCTAGCCACCTGCCCAGTACTCAGACCAACCTCTGTGAGGGGCCAGAATGTTAGATTAAAAGAAGTGTTAGCATATATTATATTCTGTATGATGTTCTAGTTCTACCCTGTTAACTCTGGTCTCATCAATGTCGACCTTTCTCATTCTTTTTAACTATTCTCTAGCTTTGAAGAAAGGTTAAATTAGCTCAGCATTGTCCTTAATCAACAATCAGCTTTTTAAAATTACTTTCCTTTTTTAAATAATCAAACAGCATACCCAGCTCCTAACGTACTAAATTTAACAGGCTTTCTCTGTACCTACAATTTACAAACACATAGTCACATCCCTAGAGGTTTGGGTTTTATTTTAATGACATTTACTATATAATTACTCAGCAACTTGCTTCTTTACATAGCTATCTACCGTGTGCATGCCTCCAGGTCAATCACATAGGGCTTCTTTAATATCCATGGGTCCCATAAATCACAGTTTATTCAGCTGTCATCTCTCAACAGCCATTCCAGTTGTTTCCAGTTTTTTTCCTCATAAACATTTGCTGCAATAAACATTTTTGTGACTATATTTAGTAGTGGTGCTTTTATTTTTATGGGTTAGTTCCTTCAGTGGGTTAAAGGTTATGCTCATTTATAAAATACTACCTAACTATCACCCAGTACTACCCAAAGGCTGTAGCAACTCACATATCCTTCAGCAGTTTGCCCCTGTGCTCACCAACACTAGTTGTTATCAGTTCTTTTAATTTTCCAATATCATGGGCAAAAAATGATAACTACTAATGAGGTTGACATCTTTGTCCATTTTTCTTTTGTGTTCTTTGTCTTTAAATCAATTTATAGTATCTTTAACCCTTAATACAGGAATATTAACCCTTTCTGATAAATATTTTCTATATTCTTCTAGACTGTTTTTGTATTTATGGTCTCTTTTTCTATATAGAAAATGTTAAGTTTTCTGTAGTTGTTATCCATCCTTTTTTAAAAGACTTCTGGGTTTGTTATTTACTTAAAAAGTCATTTTGGAATTTTTTTTCTTCCAATGACGAAAAAATGAATAGATCATATGAAGTGACAAAAACAAGAAGACAGGATGCATAACAAGGTTTTAGTTCACTTCAGAATGGGAGACAAAGTTGGGAAGAGGAAGTATAGAGGAGAGTATCATTTCTATGTATTTCTATAATGTTTGGATTTTACTATGTATATCTCACACAGGTTCGCTTTTTTAAATTGACATATAATTGACTAGCATAAAATTCACCCTGTTAAAGTGAACAAGCCAGGGGTTTTTAATGACTTACTAAATTCTATGACCATCACCACTCTCATTTCAAGACGTTTTTCTCACCCCTGAAAGAAACCCCACACCCATTAGCAGCCCCCCCACTTGCCTGCCCCTCAGCTCCAGGAAACCACCCACCTACTTTCTGTCTCTATAGATTTGCACATTCTTGATGTTTTGTATCAGTGAAATCTTACGGTTTGTGGCCTTCTGTGTCTGGCTTCTTCCACTGAACACCATGTGTTTAAGGTTTGTTCTCGCCATTGATGTGCCCACTGGGTATGCCTTGTATCAGTGCCACATTTCTTTATCTTGCTCAATAATATGCCACTGTGTGGATACACCGCACTTTGGTGACGGAGTCATCAGTTTAGGGACATTTGGGTTGTTTATGCTTTTTGACTATTGTCACTGTGAACACTTGTATATATACAAGTTTTTTTTGTAGATGAGTTTTCAATTCTCTTTGTTATATACCTAGGATTGGGTATATTGGGAGTCAGCTGAATCATGTGATAAGTCTGTTGAACCTTTTTAGGAATTATCAGACTGTTTTCCAAAGTAACTGCACCATTTTACACTCCCACCAGCAGTGTATGAGGGATCAAATTGCTCCACATCCTTGCCAACATTTGTTATGGTTCATCTTTTTTATTATAGCCGTTCTAGTGGTTGCGAAGTAGTATAATGTTTTGGTTTACAGGTTCATTTTTAAAATTTGAAAATTACAGAAAAGTCACAAGTATTTCTGCAAATAGTAAGCTTCCTGGCGAGAGTTTTGTACCATGAGCATTTCTAATTCATTGTGAATTTTAGTGAAGAAGCACTAGAAAGACAGCCAAAAGTATTGGTTAGTTGGACTTGCTTCATTAACACATTTCACGGTAAGAGGCATAAAAGCCCATGCAAGTGAGTGTGTGTGGCCATGTGTGTTTGCTTAGGGACCGAGGCAGGGAGGACTGAGGTCCCTGCAGACGCTGACCTGGAGTAGCCTAGAAGGGCTGTGTCTGACTCTTAACTCTCCCACCCGAAGGCTGCCTTCCAGACTTAGGCTGCATGTAAAATCTCTACAGTTGTTTTTGTGGTTTATTTAATCAAGCATCTTTTTAAAAGATCTGTAATTGTTCTACTTAATAAAAAGAAGACCTTGCTGGGCAGCATGGAAGTCAGCCATGTTTCTAATTAAAATAACTTT